CGTGAAAGTTAATGCATCCTAGTCTGTTGATGCAGTCTAGTTTTAGGGACAACACATGTAGAGATGCAAACTGATATTGCATTCAATTTCCTTGAGAGCCATTACGTTTTCTGCATGTAAATTGTGTGGGCGTGTTCTTTTAGGAGATGTAAAGTTGTTTAGCGATGCTAACATATTAAGTTGATGTATTATGTAATTAGCAACCTTTCTAAATATGTTTTCTGTTTGTATTAGTGATATGCTTCTCATAATGTACATTAATATACAGGATAATGTTTGAAAGAATAAAATATGGATTACTGATTTTCAGCACTATTTGAAAGCATGACATCACACCACAGACAACAGAAGGTTCTTTATGTAAATGCTGTATCCCTGACATCAATATGTTATTTATAGCTATTTTAAGAATACAATGAATAGTGGTAGAAAATGAAGAATACAGTTTTGTAGCAGCAGCTACTTAATTCATGAATAAAAAAACATCACAATTTAACTGATGTGATTACAACAATTAAACTTGCACATAATATATACATATTGCTACTTATATGTGTAGACCATTGCTGCTCTAATCACTATCTTATACGTGTAGACCATTGCTGCTCTAATCACTATCTTATACGTGTAGACCATTGCTGCTCTAATCACTATCTTATATAGGCTCATTTGTATCAATATTAATATAGTAATATAAGAATAAGCTTAACGGTCGGTTTGATCCAAAAATTCCATTTATTAAACAAGAATTGTTCAGATCATTTGATCATAGTTTAATATTTATTTTATATGATGGAAGTTTTTTTGACAAATATTAGATTTAACTTTTATCTGTAGGGTTTTGTTTCGCAGTATTATTGGATGCATATTATGTTTCTTTTTTTTATTTTTCACCACAGATGCCACGCCCAACTCTACGAGATCAGGCAATTAATATTTAAATGATGCACATACAGACCTGTCACCATCAAGTACAAGCCTGGATTTGAAAATACAATAGAAAACGAGAGACACAGTGCTACTTAATATGATTACAATACTGACTATATTGGACATAGAATGACATTTGATTACATCATTAATATCACAAATAATTAGAGTGCACTACCCTTTCAATCATCAAAACATTGCCCTTAATTTTATTAAATTACACCCATAATAAATATAATTTCTACTATACAGGATGGAGAAAGAAGGCAATCATATTTCCCATTAGCAATATAATAATTGTCTACCTACCTATGAGGGAAGAGTGTCTGCTGTCTCCTTTCCCTTCTTCTAAGTTGTACGCATCATTAAAAAACTTAGCAGTGGCAGCAGATACATGGACTTTTCCAGGCAGACCAGCGGCTTCCATCATGTTTGCAAGGGTAACATCATTAGACCAGACATCAAATTTGAATCTACGGGTACCAATAATTCCACATAGTACAGTGCCGGTATGTACTCCCACTCGCATGTTGACATTTTCGTTGGTGTCTTGACAGAATTCTTTAATGGTACTGATCATTTGGAGGCCCATCTCCACGCAGCATATTGCATGATCTGGTCGTGGTTCTGGGCACCCAGACACACAGTAATAACAATCACCCAATGTGCTTATTTTCTCACAACCATTTTTCTCAGCAAGAATGTCAAAGCGACCAAATAAATCATTCAAGAGGCCTACTAACTGCTCGGCTGTCTTGTTAGAGCTCATCTTAGTAAATCCTACTATGTCAGCGTATAGAATACTAACATTGTCCATTCGATTCATATAGAAAGGTCGAAATATGCCTTGTGATTTCTTCTTTTTGGGACTTGATCCATGCAGAGATCTTCTTTTTTTACTGTCCTGGTCCTCTTCTCCAGTAGATTGCATGAGTTCATCAGCTAACAGTCTAGGCATCACAGAGTGAATCATCTTCTCTTTGATATGCTTTTCAACTTCCAGTTCACGCCTAGCAACAATGGACTGAGCAACCTTCCAAAATGTGCTGTGTTTTCTAACTTGAGACATGAAGAATATTGAGAGCCCCATTAGATGAATGCAGATATGGAGGAAAATTTTGCAGACAGCCATGATGATTTCTTGCTGGTTTTCAAACTCATAATTTGGCATCGCCCTTCTATTGATGTAGTATAATACTTCATACAGAATTGAATACAAAGCACCTAACACTACAGCAACCAACAGAGGCATAGGAATGACGGTATACATCATCAGCAAAATTTCCACACAAATTGCAAACATGCCAACATTACTAACCGGAGATTTGGGGTAGTCGTAATAAGCAACTGTAGCAAGTGTTAGCGTGCACAGTACTATAGATAAAACCAACGATGTTACCAACATAGTGTGGCATGTGTAAAACCTAGAACACGTAAAAAACAGCAACGATATGCAGAATATAAGCACGGCTACGCTACCAATTACGAATGCTAACCAATGATCTCTCATCAAAACCGCGAAAAATATACTCCACGCCACACAGGATACGATGATATAAAGCAGCGCATATTGGAATCGGCGTTTGTTTTGGGGAAAGTAACTTCTTACTAACTGCTTTTCCAAGATCGTCGAATCGAATCGAGGGTTCATCCAACTCCCTGACGATCGCTCGAAAAGACGGGGTAGCCGTCCCGAAGGTGGTGGTTTTCCATCAGAATCCTCTTGACTGGATGTGGAATCACCTTGTCGTATACTGACCTGCACGGAATTCTCATCCACGGAACTGCCGCGATGAAAAGTTACCTCCGTCGCCGCCATGTTTTAGCGATAACAACGTCGACACAACTAATATTTAGTACACAGAACGATCGCACTTCGATACAAACACTAAAATGTGTCAGTCGAGCCAGACTTCACAGAGTCCAGAAGCAGATCAAGGATGTTGTGGGCTAAACAGTAGTGCCATATCCCATGGGTGAGCAATCTGACTGTTACTTTTAGTTCTCTATGTTCAGCACTGTCTGTTTGTACAGCGAGAGTAGACTGTCGTACGGGTCCAAGAGTAGTACGACCGATCCTCGATCTTCTATACGGTGCTCTTCCAAAATACTACCTTATGAATTGCCGTCGGAAACCCAGTGTGTCCTAGCATGCCTCAAGATAATTTCGATCTTCTGCAGAGTGGGTTTGTTCGACAATTACTCGGAGGCGTTCAATAAAGCTGTGCATCTCCAACCCCTCAGTGAAGTTATTTCAGCTAGTGCATTGTAATAGTAGGGCTGCGACAAATAATGGCGACGTCCAATCGGAATGCCACATCAAATAATCAGTCGAGGGGCAACTTCCTATTCTTGTTGTTAATATTAATGAACATCGATAGCATACTTCAAAAACAATTTATACCATATTTCTGTTACTATGCAGAATGTCAGAAAAAATATTCAAACAATCGCCGCGATTTGTTGTCGTAACATAGCATTCGGTGGGGTTGTGAGCAATAGAACTGACAGCAGAACGACCCTGCTCCCGTAGCCTCGTACCAGGATTTTTTTTCTGAATAATATTGTGGGATTTCCCCAGGTATGCAGCCTCGTTCGTTTTATTACATATAAACTTGTTTAGTTAATACGGCGCAGTAAAAAAACATTCACAATATTTAGCTGGAATATTTTTAATAATATTAATTTGCATGTCATTGCATGTTCACAATATTGGCAAACTTTGGGGTGAAGCTTTCACGTATTAAAAATATGAATATATTGACAGTGTAATTTTTCACAGTTATCCGTATTTACTAGGGTATCATGGTCTTCATTGTTCACGTTATTGACACTAGGAATCTGTCTTTTTGTTTTTTATTCTTACTTTAATCTAGTAAATTTGCTGTGAGATTAGGCTTACCTGATATGGCACCCCTTTAATAATAATGGAATAGACCAATTAATCCATTTGATCGGTGCTGCGTAAAAAAATACAGTTTTGAACCTCAAGTAACTTTAATTCGCACTTTATACCAATTTATACCAATACCAAGCCATTCCCTGGTCACCAACAAGTTCATTGCGAGAACACGCACCTATTTATAGCTGTGGTTGCGAACAATATAGACATATTTGTCACACCAAAATGACTTCAAATACCGCCAAAGTTGGTAGTCATGCCAACCTCAAAATACAACCGCCTTGTACAAATGTCCCTGCTGGTGTTTTTTTTTTTCAAGAGCGGGTTTGTTACGACCAGCCTGACAAATACTATTGTTGAAATTTACGAGTAGTAGTAAATTTCCCCGTCAACCTAATAAACGTAGACAATACAAAGCCATAAAATAAAGATTATCAACACTAACTTTAACTGGTCAGTATAATAGGAGTCAACAATGCCTATTGTTGCTTTAAATGACTTCAGTATTAGTGTGTTTGGGTCTGACACTCTTGTTTCTGCTGGCATCCACACACATACTCAATTTAATATATTTTTGAAAGATGAACGCTACTCAAAATTACAAATATTTGATGAAAAGGGAAATAAAAATATGCGGATACCATAAGATGATACATACAAAAGGAATGAAAATAACATGTTTTGTCTGTTTTAGATTGTTTTATCATTGTTTCCTATAGAAAGGATATGTCCCAAATCTCAAACTTTTTATTTTGACATGAGGAGTAGAAACTGATATTAAGTTACCGATGCCAAAAATCACCATCGTGGAGCAGCTGGGAGTCGATATCAACTTTCTAGACTAACCCCAAATACCGATGTTTACTTAAGCGTGAAAAATCACAAAAAATATAAAACACACTGTATCTCAGATTTACTCAAAATGTATTACCCTCCTAAACCATCTCTACAATTTTTTTTTTCGAGTGAAATGCATGCTTCATATATTCGTATAAGAGAATATGGAAAACAAGTAAATTTGATATTTTCAAAGAAAAAGAACCTCTACTACATCCTTAAGAGGTACTTGTTGATATCACAAAATTTACACTATTTTTACTGGAGTTTAACGAATAAATGCGCTTTCATTGTAGTCTTTGGAAAACGCTGCTAAAATGTAATTTTGTGCATATTATCGACGGTGAATAAAACACTCCACACACTGTTTTAGATTAGAAAGAGTGCCCTTGCTTGTTTCATATGGTTTACGTGTCATAAGGTTTACGATTCACCAGTCACGTGTCATAAGGTTTACTATTCACCAGTCACGTGTCATATGGTTTACGATTCACCAGTCACGTGTCATAAGGTTTACTATTCACCAGTCACGTGTCATATGGTTTACTATTCACCAGTCACGTGTCATAAATTTTAGGATTCACCAGTCACGTGTCATATTGTTCACTATTCACCAGTCACGTGTCATATGGTTTACGATTCACCAGTCACGTGTCATAAGGTTTACGATTCACCAGTCACGTGTCATAAGGTTTACGATTCACCAGTCACGTGTCATATGATTTACTATTCACCAGTCACGTGTCATATGGTTTACTATTCACCAGTCACGTGTCATATGATTTATGATTCACCAGTCACGTGTCATAAGGTTTACAATTCACCAGTCACGTGTCATATGGTTTACGATTCACCAGTCACGTGTCATAAGGTTTACTATTCACCAGTCACGTGTCATATGGTTTACTATTCACCAGTCACGTGTCTTATGGTTTACTATTTACCAGTCACGTGTCATATGGTTTACTATTAACCAGTCACGTGTCATATGGTTTCTTATTCACCAGTCACGTGTCATATGGTTTACTATTCACCAGTCACGTGTCATATGGTTTACGATTCACCAGTCACGTGTCATAAGGTTTACTATTCACCAGTCACGTGTCATATGGTTTACGATTCACCAGTCACGTGTCATATGGTTTACTATTCACCAGTCACGTGTCATATGGTTTACTATTATAAATAAATACAACTATCAGGCTTTGGAATGAATGAATGAATGAATAAATGAATGAATGAATGAATGAATGAATGAATGAAGTGAAAACAAATGAGGAAGGGTGTTTCATTTCAACAAACATTATTAAGATAAACTGGGAGAGGACTGTACCTCTAAAATACATTCTGGAGGTGGTAGGGGGGCTATATGCGTGTTTTATGAACAAAACGTGTTACGATACTATGGGAAGGCGGTTTCTGTGAACAAAGGTTTTTCGGGAATAAAATGAAACCTGACAATGCATATAGAATCAGTGAATGCATATAGAATCAGCCCAGTGTGACATCTATTATATACATAATACGTATAGGGAGTACCAGTTGTCAGTATAAGCGGGAAAACTGCAGATATATTGTACAATAGTACTACCAGAGATGCAGGTATGTGGCACAGTTAATCTCAGTTTGATACTTGGAATAGGGACTGCATAGAACCAATTATTATATTATCAGCACGCAATATGAATACTATCATTACTTTAACATTTGCAGACAGTTTACCAATCACCAGGAAAGAAATGAGGCCAATTATTTATAAATATGCCTGCGGGAACATTCCTAAACAGTTGAAGCTATAAACTAATTATCATGACACATATTATTTTATCAAATTTTGATGCAAAGCGAGTTAAGTTCTCCCTGGAATGCATCATGGGTTTAATTTATAACACACTCAGGCTGTAATTGTTAATGTACAAAATGTAAAATAAAAATCGACAGAAAAAACTACTGATAAATGTTCTATTTTTGTTGGAGACTGTTAATACTAGAATAATGAAAACACATGTACAATATAAATATTCAGCCAAAATTAGCACAAGCTGTGCATTTAGGGGTCATCCATGTGACCCAATACTCAACATCACTTATAGTAATGTAATCAGCTTACTTTACCAGTCACTATAAACAGGGTGTAACCATTAGAAATGAATAGAGGAACTTTTCTATTTGACCAGTCACTATAAACAGAGTGTAAGCATTAGAAATGAATAGAAGGACTCTTCTATTCGATCAGTCACTATAAACAGGGTGTAAGCATCAAAAATGGATACAGGGACTCATCTATTTGACTAGTCACTATAAACAGGGCGTAACCATTAGGAATGAATAGAGGGATTCTTCTATTTGATCAGTCATTATAAACAGGGCGTAACCACTATAAACAGGGTGTAACCATTAGAAATGAATAGAGGGAATCTTCTATTTGATCAATCACTATAAACAGGATGTAACCATTAGAAATGAATGAATGGAGGGAATTTTTCTATTTGACCAGTCACTATAAACAGGGAGTAACCATTAGAAATGAATAGAGGGACTCTTCTATTCGACTAGTCACTATAAACAGGGTGTAACCATTAGAAATGAATAGAGGGACTCTTCTATTTGACCAGTCACTATAAGCAGGGTGTAACCATTAGAAATGCATAAAGGGAATCTTCTATTTGATCAATCACTATAAACAGGATGTAACCATTAGAAATGAATAGAGGGACTCTTCTATTTGACCAGTCACTAAAAACAGAATGTAACCATTATAAATGAATAGAGAGACTCTTCTATTTGACCAGTCACTATAAGCAGGGTGTAACCATGAGAAATGCATAAAGGGACTCTTCTATTTGATCAGTCGATATAAACAAGGTATAGCCATTAGAAATGAATAGAAGAACTCTTCTATTTGACTAGCCATTATAAACAGGGTGTAACCATTAGAAATGAATAGAGGGACTCTTCTATTTGACCAGTCACTAAAAACAGAATGTAACCATTATAAATGAATAGAGAGACTCTTCTATTTGACCAGTCACTATAAGCAGGGTGTAACCATGAGAAATGCATAAAGGGACTCTTCTATT